TGCTTCGGGGCGGGCGGGGCGCTCGGCCCGGTTTGGGATGACTGGGTGCCAGGCGGCTTCAGGGCCAGGGTAGGATTCCGTCCCTGGGGCAGGGCTCTCCCCTCCCCGCAGCAAGGGTGTGTGGGGGGAGAGCTGTGCGGTGAGGGGCTTGTCTCTGCAGGAGGGGAGGCGGTGAAACGTGGGAAGTCTTTCATGTTTTTGGAGCAAAGGTTTGGCTGCGGGGATCTTAGACCCCCTCATGCCTCGAGGAGAGCCTCTGTGCTTCGCTTTTAATGAGTTAGAAGTTGATTTGCCTTCCCAGTCTCGTCAGCCAAGCCTAAGCAGGCTCCAGGGAGAATTTCTGAGTTTTTCTCTGGTCGTGGGAAAATGAAAAGCTGTGAAATGTGGCTTTGGGGGGTAGTGTGGGAACACAAAGGCTTATTTTTATGCCTTCCTCTTCCCCTCCGGTTCAAATCAGGTGATAATGTTTACTGAGCCAGAGCTGAAAGTCAGGTAGAAGACGCGGCGTGGTGCGTGCCAGGATTGGGAACGGCGCCGTAACTCGGCGAGGAGAAGCTGCAGCTTTCCCGTGGCTGTCTCACGTACAGCTACGAGCCAGCTTTGGGTTTTACCTCTCTTCTTTTTTGATTGCTTCAAGTTTCCACCTTAGTCTTTTCCTGGAGAATTTTCCAAAGCTTTTAGCCTTCTTATCTCCCGCTGGGACCGATGAAGAGAGCTGCCCTCCTGCCAAAGTCTCTGGGTATCCATATTTGTTTATGGGTTTGTTCCCCGATGAACAGTGACATCTTCCTGTTGATCTTGTTTTGCAGCAGAAATTTCGGTGATGTTATTTGGCAAAATCTCTCGTTAGGTTGCATAATAGTCCCATTTTCTCCCTCTGATGTTCCCTGTCATCCTTGGCTTTGGAGGCTTGAAAGGTAGGCAGTGCTGTGAGGAGAATTTAAAAAAAAAAAAAGGAAGAAGCGTCTAGACCTTTGAAGGTGGCAACGCTGTGACAGTGTTATATTCAGCCGTACCTTCTGGCTGATAAAACATTACACGGATAGCCAAGCTGTCTGGCTGCTTTGCATCGCACCAGATAGGAACATAAGTAAGCAATGCAAGCGCAGAACATCAGACTTTGCAGAGTCCTAGCTCTGCGTCGTAGGGTTATGTTATCGACAGGAGCGATACGCTATTTATAACCTCGGCTGCTGCTTATCAGTGTGTATGGGTTGTCTTTCCTCGCAACGTCCAACCGCCTCAGTCCCTTTTTATTTTGATAGTTTTAGGATCTCTAATCAAGCTGTGGCTCGTGGATCTGTTTCTGTTTAGCCTTGCTGTAATCTCTTCTGAAGTATTAGTCGCTGCGCGCAGTCCCTGGGGGAGAGAGAGGAGTGAGAAATCGGAGAGAGGTCAGCAAACCTGAGAATGCCGGAGGATGTGGGAGAGAGCTGTAACTTGGCCTGAAGTATTTACTTCTAAGTGATGATGATGGGAGGGGGGTGGGATATAGATCCACTGCTCCCTGGGGCTGTAAGTACCCAGCAGGAAGGAGAAGGTCTTTGAAACAATGGGATCATTTAGGGGAGGGAACGCGCTTCCTGGAGCCAGGAGCCCCCCTTTTCTGTCTGGGGTGCTTAAATCTGGTGTGCCGTGAAAAGCCAGAGCGGATGGGAAGATGGGCAGGGTGACCTTATTTTCAGTTGTTGAAGTGGAAAGCCTGGTTTTATCTCAAGGCAGTTTCTCCCAGATCTGACCTCTTTGCTTGGATACACAACTGGGTTTGTTCTGGGAGACTGGGGCTTGCCCTTCCCCAGCCAGGGACGCGTGTAGTGCAGGCCTTCGAAGTCTTGCACTCTCCGAAACCGCAGCCACTCACAGTAAAATCCCGGTGCCTGACTGCCCCACAGACGAGCTGACTCTAGACCTGCTTGTCAGGAGAGCACAGCTTTGGGTATTCCCTGCGTGTTTTTCTTTTGCTCATGGCTCTTTAGCATCGTTCCTGGTCTTTGCCTGGCTTTGGCTCACCTGCTTTCACCTCTTGGCTGCGTATAACACCTTAACTGTGCCTGTCTGTCCCGTGCTATGCAGCTGGTTGTACAGCCCCTCCAGCAGTCTCCTGGCAGCACGTTGCACGCTCTCGGTGTGATTGGGGGGCAAATATCTCAGCCTGACGGTTTGCTTGTTGCCTCGGTAGATGGCTCTTCCCGATCATTGGCCACATGGGTATCTGCACCTCGACTGGAGTCATTCGGGACTTCGCGGGGCCATACTTTGTATCAGTAAGTAGATGATGGATCTGGGTGCTTAAGCAGAATCCATGCTTGGTCTGCTTCTTACCTTTGTTGGTGGCTTTTGAGCCATCCCCTGTCCTGTGCAGTTCAAAGTTTTGCAACGTAATGGCTTAGGTGTTTCCCAAGATTGCAGATCTTTGCTGTTACTCTGCGGGCTGCTTTCCAGTGGAGTTCATTTTGGGGGGGGATATGACAGTTAGTGGCTGGTTTGGTTTGGTGAGCAGAAGGGAAAAATATCTTATTAAGATATTATTAAGAGCCAGACTGGCTCTTAATTGGGAATTTTAGACCTAAATCCTCTTAATTCTGAGTAACAGAAGCTGCCTTCCAACATCCTCAGCATGCCTGTTACTGTCACACTCCTTAGCATCAGGTATGTGCCGGTCTCCTAAACGGCTTTATAGTCTGGTGGATTTTGAAAGTAAGGGAGTTTTAAGTTGGGATAATTAATACTCTTAATAGATCGGAACACTTGCAACTTTGAGTTAACAAGATATTAACAGTTAAAAAAAAAAAATGGGGGGAACAAGGTCCATGTACCATATAGCTAGATGATGTTACCATGTATAGAGTATAAATATACTCGTGCCCAGAGCAGGAGTACGAAAACAATTGAAACCTAAATCCAGACCCAGAAATAAGATTGGTGTCTTGAGACTGCTGAGGCAATGTGACAGTTTTATCGCGAAGCGATCGCGGGCTGTCTGTGAGGCCTTCCAGCAAAAGGCATGTCATGAATATTGCGCGGGCTTATCCTCTTGAGATGTTTTTTTTCCTTTTTTGTAGGAAGACAACATGGCATTTGGGAAGCCAGTGAAGTAAGTGTTCTTGTTAGTTTTTATTAAACTAACCAACTGACCTGCAGATGTCCTTTAATTTGTGGAGACACACGTGCTATAATATTGCTTTTCTTCTTGTTCAGATGCCCTAATTCAAGTGGATGGCTACTGTGTCTCTGCTTTTCAAGAAACCACATTAAATTAAATCTTTTTAGAAGCGTGACAGCAATGTATAATGAGAACTGTATGGAGCCTTTATTAAAAAAAAGAAAAGGCTAAAGCATTTTAAGATAATGTTAACAACTGCTCCAAGTAAATACTGCCCGCGCTGTGCTAATCAACTGTCATCACTTGCATCCTGTTAATGATTTTCTGGGGGGAGGTGGAGAGGTGCCTGGGTTTTGTGTACCTGTCAGATCAGGTTTATGTTTTGAATGGCCTGAAGGTTTCACATCATGGGACGAGAAAGCAGTTCAGAGTTTTGTCTGTGCCCCGGAGGTCTGCAGTTTCTCTCTCTGGGGTGCTGTTGGGCTGAGGGTGCTGAGCTTTAGTTTCTGCTGCCCTCTGCAGCATACGCTTGTCTTGAAGAGCTCGGCTTCATGGACTCCAGAGACAGTGGATTTCTCTAAGTCCTTTAAGCATCTTCCTGCTGGGAAGAGCAAGAAGTCATAAAGGTGCAGCAGTAATGCGAAAGGATCTGCTCTCATCCTTCTAGGTACTGGAAACTGGATCCCAGCAAAGTATACTCCACCGGTCCCAATGCTTGGGACACAGCTGTACACGATGCCTCGGAGGAGTACAAGCACCGAATGGTACGGCTCCGACACTGATGTCCTGTCTTTGTGTCTGGGTGCTTGCTGCAGGTTTGGGACCCGTGGGTCCGCACCAGTGCAGGGTGTGGAACCGGGGACCCTTGAGGGCAGGATTTCTAATCCCACGCTCCTTTTTCTGTTCCAGCACAACCTTTGCTGTGATAACTGCCATTCTCATGTGGCTCTGGCCTTAAACTTGATGAGATACGATAACAGCACCTCCTGGAACATGGTGAAACTCTGCTTCTTCTCACTCCTATATGGGAAGTATGTAAGGTGAGCCGAGGAGAAGTCTAGATTCAGCAGGTGAAAGGGCTCTGTTTCTTTCATTCTTCCTATCCCTCCAGAGCTTCAGACTGTCCCGTGGAAAAGGGAGAAACATCTCTCCCTCCACAGCGTGTGGGTGTGTGTCGCTGGTAGGTGGTACTGCCACTGCCTGCTGCCTCTTAGGAAAAGAACCAAGGGTACCTGCTCATTGCACTAGATGCTGCTCCTGAAATACTGTATCTGGCAGCTGATTTAGGGTGCCTGGAATTTGGGAAATGCTAGCTAGAGCAAAGCTTGCTCTGTGTTGTCTTTTGGCTGGGTTAGGTCAGAACATAAGGTCACGGAATGGCTTGTCTCCAAGGACTACTGGTTCCTCTTCCCTCTCTTAAATCTTGTTTACATAAAAACTAGTCAGATTTCCAACTTGTGTGGAGCTTCCAACTTGAGCCAGAGAGGGAAACCCTGAGCTTTCTGCACTAGAAAGGGTACTTTAATCTCCATTTCAGCTCCTTGTGCCTGAAGAGGAGATTCTGCAAGGACTGCCTTGCATAAAGCTTTTGAGTTGCTCCACTTCTGTTGGGTCTTCCCTGTTCTGGAGAAGCTTTTAGGCAAGTGTAGTCCCTGCTGTCTCGGTTAAATACACCAGCAGTCTGAATAACGAGGCCTGTGGTAACAGGGTTTCATTTTTTGTGGTCTGCTGTCTCCACTCCTGTCTGTGCAGATATGAAACATGCTAGTCTTCACCCTGAATTTAAGCTGGAAGGTGAGTCCAGCCCTATTGTTTGTGGTACAGTTATTTGTGGACCTGATTTAGTCTCCATTTTTAACATGGACTGGATCTCCAGGATGCATTGTATGGCAGTGCCACCAATGGATAAGAAAGTCAGAAGGGCGTCTGTGTCCCTCTGATTTCTCCAGCTATTCTCACATCCTTCTCTCCCTCTTGTCTTTCTCTGCTGATTTCTTTTAAATCCTCCCCCTTTTTTCCCCCATCTTGCAGCATAGGGGGATTTGTGAAGACTTGGCTTCCCTTTGTCCTCTTCTTGGGAGTGATCGTGACCATCGTTCTGACGCTTCATTTGCGGTGATGACAGCTGTGAACTCCCCATTCCATGGGCACACGAAGGAAGAAACTGTGACTGATCCAGCGAGATGGAGGCGTGGGACTCTGGGAGGCGTTTTCTGAGGAAGGTGGCAACTCCACTGCATTGTAACAGCTCATCTTTGTTTCCTGGAACTGGCTTCTTTTCCTTCTGTTTTTGTTCTGTCGTTGGTGTCTCCCAGTGTCTGGGGTCCTGAAGCCTCCTGCTCTCTCCTTGAACACACTCCCTTTCTGCAATTTGGTAGGTAGAAACGCAATCAGGAGAGGAGAGGCGTGGGCACCTTCGTTTTCAGTGCCAAGTAAAAAGCCGCAAGGCAAACCCTGCCTCCTGGTTGAGGAGCACAAGCAGATCCACCTTTTAAGGTTCTCTCTGATCACTGGGTTTCTTCCTCTTGGCAGACCTCATCAGATGCTTCCTCAGATTTCCTGAGTCTCCGAGAAGGAGTTGTTATTTCCCTGTTGCACAACTCTCCCGTAGCACATGTTTCCAAGTGGAGGTGTGGGGTTCCTCCTGGGGATGTGGGGTGCCGCAGCACCCGCTGACCGTCTCCCCAGTAGCGACAGAAAGGTGGGACGCTCCTCTGAGGAGGTGCGCAGAGGAACGCTCTGTGGCAGGGCAAATACATCTGGTCCTGCTGGTGAGCCCAGAAAGGCAGGAAAGTCGATCGACTGGCTTGGGCATGGCTTGTGGCAGTCTGCACGCTTTCAGTAGCCTCTTGCAGAGTTGGCAACCTACTGCTAAGTCCCTTTTAGCTGGTGCCAGAGAAAATAGAGCTTCCCTGCTTCTCCTCGTGCTCTGAACATCTAAAATTGTCGTTGCACTTCTCATGAGCCACTTTCTCATGAGCCGCTTGCTTTCCTTTGATCCCTAGTGCTTCATGCGTCGCAGGGTACCTGAGCCTGCAGAGGGGGCAGCAGCACGTGTATGTTTCTGGGACAGGAGGCTGAGCGTAGGGTTTTGAAAGCATCCAGGAGATCAGCACCTGAGGCCTGAGCTTAGTGGGGGCCATCAGAGATTAAAAGAAAAGGTGGAGGGACTGGAAAGCATCCATGTTCTGGTTGGGCTTTGCAGCAGCAAACTGGGGCACTGGCTGGTTCCAGGATGGTGACCAAAGTCTATTTACTTCCTTGGCATGCTTTGAAGAGCGCACCTGGAGCACAAGCAGGACTGCTGTTGATGTGAGCAATGCTGCTCTGGCAGCACTGCGGGCTGGTGGCCCTTTTGAGCCCCGGGTCAGGCAGGATGGGTAGTAAGGGGGTAGGTTGTTCTTGAGTACTAGGCAAGAAGTGAATTTGGACACGACCCAGAGCCTCTCCCAGGGTGAGAGGTCCAGGTCGGTGTTTGCTGAGGCTCTGGCCTGCAGATGCTGCTTTCGGTGGGGCTCTGAGCCAAGTGGCTTTTTAGAAAAAAGTGCAGCTGAGGGTTATATGCAGCTGAGCAGGGTTATGTGCAGCTGAACAGATCTCCTCTGACTGCAGAGGAAGGAGAATAGCTTTTCCACTCATGCCTCGAAAGGCCAGCTCTTTACTCTGCTACCTGATGGATTTCAACCGCAAGGAGTGCTCGTGGCCAGCATGAAAGCTCTCCTCCACTGCCTGCTGTCCCTGTGGCTTCCCCTGACTGGCAAGCCCCTTCACCATTGCCCTGCTGGCTCTCAGACCTGTCCCCGTGTGCTTTTCCCTCTGCTTCCATCTCCCCAACTCCTAGCCATATGTGAGGGTTGGGGGGCTCCTCTTGGGCTTCTCAGTTTCTGCATTTCCTTCCTTTTCCTCGGTTGCTTTTAAATAGCCCCTTAAACAGCTCCCATCTCCCTAGCATCCAATTGTCTCTGTCATCTGGTGCTGGCTTTTCTGGGGTGGGTGGAGGAGGTGTGCAGACCTCGGCGCCCTTCCCCGCCTACCTGGAACTGCAATAGTCGTCGGTGTCTGCTCTGTACAGTCATTTCCAGCCTGCGTGGAGAGCGGGCCGGAGGGTGCTGGGCCTGGGGCTGATTAGAAAGCCAAGATCTTGATCAAAGAGAACCTTACAATGAAAGGATGGTGTCTTACTGGGCTACCCTGTGTCACTGTGGTTGCCACCCAGTGAGCCTGCTGGCTGATGTGCCCTCAGACGAGCCAGTTCAACGGGCGAGATTAGTCCTTTGCCTCTGTTTTTAATTTAAGTATGATTTATCAGAGTGACCTGCCAAGGATGCGCTTGGAGTCCCTGGCTCCGGGGCTGAAGCCAACCTGTCTTATGCAGTAGCAATAACCTAGAGACTCTTAGGCCTGTCTCACATGTTGATTCAGTGTTTTATTGATAAGCTATACAAGCATTGCCAAAGCTGAGACTTCGAGTTGTCAGGGGAGGCCGGGAGCGGGGCTGCTGGCCACGGTCGCCACTCCTGGGACTTCTGAAAACAAGTTGAGTGCCGTTCCCCACCGTGAAAATCCTTGTCGTTTTGCTCCTAACGCTTTTTACCAGATCTGGGTTTCGAATGAAGACTTGCAGAGCAGCAGCAAATGAGCCTCGGGGCCGGTTGGAGTGCTGGCTGCTGGGGAGGCGAGGCAGCCCTTCCCCCAAGTCCTGGCTGAACAGCCCACCCGTTTCCACTGACGGAGTTGGAGGATGGCTCTGGGCATCCAAAGGAAACGCGGAGAGCGAGGCCCAAAGCTGAGGTACCACAGAGCCAGCCCATGCCTCTGTGCTGGACGTGCAGAGCTGCACTTGCACAGTGAAGGATGGTGCCCACAGAGGTCGGATGCTGGGAGAGGCGGGTGGGCTGGTCGGATTTACTGTTTTCCTATGCTGTGGAAGTGTCAGCCCAGCACTGCAGGAGCATGGAGAAACCCTGGTGGTGCTCGGCGTGGCTTCCCGGCAGCGCTGCAGCCAGCGCCTGGGGTTGGGTGGGGAGTGGGCTGCTTGCTTCTTGGCCTGGGAGGTGGCAGAAGGAGGGGGTGGGTAAGGAAAGTCCTCTCCTTGCAGCGTCCTCCATCTCGCTACCAGCTTCTTCCCAGTGTCCCCTCTGACCAGCTGCGTTAAAGGTTCACCCTGCCCTTCGCCTTCCAGACGCCAGTTTTATGCTCCTCTCCTCCCCCCTTTGCACGTGCTTGTGCTGCAGAGCTCCGTGGCGTTGCCGTTGCTCTTCGGCGAGGGCGAGCCCTCCGTACCCTCATCCTTTGTTCTCTTGATCTCTGTGGGGCGCTGGATTACTTTGTAAATATTTAAACTCTGCTTCTGTGGTTTCATAATCCTGACGGTAGGGGAAATAAACTTATTTCTGTGGATGTCTCCAAGTGCCGCATCTCTCAGTGTCGAGGCTCTTTCCTCCTTCCAGCCCTCAGCAGGGTTGGTATTCCCCCCTGCCCCAAGGCAGCGTGTCTGGCTGCGTGCAGAAGCCGGACCCCCAAGCTCCCACACCTTTTATTTTATGAATTTGCCCTTTTCTCTGCTCCAGGGCAAAACTCGCAGCCCTGTTTTCAGACCTGCTGTTGGGAAGGGGAGGTTTGAGGGTAGGGGGACCCAATTGCCACAGTGCGGGAAGAGTTTGCAGGCTTTAATGCTGGGTCTGGAAGCCGGGGACCTGCCAAGGGTCTTTGTTATGTTTGGGAGAAGGCTCTGCCCGCTCTTGCACTTTGCCCATCCCTGAGCCTCTGCCCGGCGTGGCCCTGGGCAAGGGGAAGCCAAGCGCTGTGGGGAGGAGGATGCTTTTTTAGAAGACAAGCCCCCTCTTGCAGGTCGATCCCATTGAGCCATTCCCCTCCCATAGTCCAAAGTCTCTGGCATCTCTGTTTTCTTGGGAGCTGGGGTCCTTTCCCCTGCACCGATCTTCCATTTCCCTGCAAGCTGCTGGGAGGGGATGCATGCGTGGGGCCCGGGGCTGCCGGGAGCGGCAGAGGTGCAGAGTGGGCTGCAGAGAACCAGTCTTATTTTCCCCTCTCCCAGCAGGATACCGCTGCCTGAACTGGGAGCCAGGGAAGCTGGGCCTCCTCGAGTGCTGTAATGATTGCTAATGCAGCAGCCGATTTTCCGTTACATCTGATATCCAGAGGCCAAAGCTGCGCGATGGGGGAAGTAGATCAGCCTTAAAATTAGGTTGTGTACAAGGCTCGGGGATTTAATGGCGCAGCCATCTTACAAAACACCACCTGGATCCTCTCCTGCTCAGCCCCTTGATCCAAACCACGCTGCTCCTGTGGCTGCGTTACCTCCAGCCCCTGCTTCAGCTCTGGGGCTGCAAAACAGCAGCGGGGGGGATGGCAGGCAGCCTCCGAGGGGTTTATCCTGCACATGTCTGTCGCTGGAGCACAAGGTGAGGATGCAAAATGCCCCAGGAACGCGCTCTGCCCTGGCGTGCGGGGCTCTGCACCGCTGTAACCATCCTGCTGAGTCCCTGCTCGCCTCCCAGAGCATGGCAGGATTTTTCTAACCCACTTCTGCTGCTTGGGGAGGTGCAGGGAATCTGGCTGGAGCTGCGTGGGAGCTGAGCTGCACGGTTTGGGTTATGGTATCTGGGGATTATACAGAAGCAGCCAGTCCAAATGTGCCAGGATAGTCACACTCGGGCTGCTCAATCCCCAGCAGGAGGCTGGGCCGCGCAAGCCCTACTCCTCTCATTTTTGTCTCCCACCTCTCGGTGTGGCCAGTCCAGCCCCAGGAGGGACAGAGGCTGCTGGAAGTGGGGGAGGCTGCAAAGGGGAGTGCCAGGATCCATCCCAACCTGCCAAATGGCCTCAACCAAATCATCAGAGCCCCCTCGCTGCCTCTGCCCTCGCCCAGGGTGGCTGAGCGGGACCGATCCGCCCTGGCAGCTGCGGTGTGGGGGCTTCTTCAGCACAGGGAGCGGGGCCGGGGGTCCCCCCCCGACGTGGGAATGGGGGAGCGGATGCCCCATTGCTGGCCATGCTGCTGGTGTGGAGCTGCCTGTGCAGGGGGGGTCCCTGCTGCAGCTGGCCGGAGGGGAGGGAGGGGGTCCCTGTTTCTCATCCCCTTTGCAGGAGGTGGGGGGGCTGCCTGGGGGAGCAATAGCAAATGGCACTTAAGCATTTGCACGGCTGGAGCTTTTGAAAAATGGCAGTGGCTGGGCTGCCTTCGGTCATGGTGCCTCTGGGCTTGGTGCCTCCGGGCTTGGTGCCTCCGAGGCTGCAGCTCCCTCCTCATCCTCTGCCACCCCATCGTCCGCGTTGTGTCCCAGGCAGGGGAGGGGAAGGGGGTGCAAGACCCAACGCTGAGGCTCTTGATGCCCGCGTCTTCCCAGGCAGGGCTTGCACATCATCGCCAGACAGAGCCAACAGTGGAAACATCGCAAGGTCCCTGCTCTATTGCGAGGATTAAAAATTAAAAATGAGGAGGGGGGCTGCAAGCAAACAGCCCCCCAGCTCGTGGGAGCTGGGCTCTGTCCCCACAGGAGCTGGGGAGGGCTCAGGAGCCCCCCCTGGCAGGGGGACAGGGCCAGAGACCCCATTCCTTTGGGGGGAGACATGTGGTGGTGTAACAGCTATGGCAGGAAGGGAAGGGGGGGTTTGGGGAGGCTGCCGGGGGTGTGTGTCTGTGGGACAGCTTTGGGGTGTGAAATCTCCCTTGGTTTGCAGAGATATTTGTGTCCTGCAGCTGGTGCCTGTGCGGGGATTTGGCATCTCCCGCACCCTCCTGCGTGGGCTCTGTGCATCAGGATAAAGCCCTGCCCTCCCCTCCAGGGTCCCCACAGGAGGGACACCCATCCCTCCCGGCCTTCTCCCCACCACCGGGTTCCCCTCAGCATCCCTTGGCCGGGGGCACGTGGGCTGGGGCCACTCCAGGACCCCTGTCCCTCTGGAGACTCTCTTGGCAGCCGGTGACCGTGGAGCTCAGCTCCCACAGGAGCCTTAAAAGCCTCTGTTTCCCTCAGTGCCCCCGTCCCTGCAGCCCACCCTGGGTACCCTCAGCTGGTGGTCTCAGGGGTGCTTCCCACCCAGCCGAGGTGCCAATACTGAGGGTGCTGCCCCACTCCCCCACCTGCAAACCCAGCGGTGGGCGAGACGCTGCCCATGCTCCGCTGCACACTCCCTGCCTCAGTTTCCCCCTGCTGGGAGAGCCAGGCTTGCCTGTACCTCGTGGACTCGAAGAACAAGTTGGGAGGGGGGAGCAGGGCTGGGGAGCAGGACGGGACTTGCTCCTCGCCCCCGCTCCCTCGCCGCTGCCCAAACGCCCAGCACAGAAATGAGGCAGAACCTGTTCTGTGCACCCGCGGGGCTGATGCCAGCACCCGGCACCCAGGGGACAGACGGGAGGGTTTGCGTCCTCGGATGCTGCTTCAGGATGTGGCTGGGGCCCAGCTGCAAGCCATTGGGGCTGCCTGGCTCGCTCTGGGGTCTCTGCAAGGAAAACCATCCCCGAGGGCTGACCCAGCGCCTTGCTGGCCTTGTGCTGGTGGCCAGGTCATTCTGGGTGTCACCGGGCCGCCCCGGGCGGAGGGAGGCACCGAGGGAGGCTCTGCTCCACAGCTGCTACAGCTGAGACCCAGCAAAATCCCTACCCTTCTGGGTCACCAGGGCTGGGGCAGGGGGCACAGCGCAGGATGTGACCCACTGCTCCCCCACACCTCCAACCATGGGGTTTGGCTCTGTCTGTGCCATGCACAAGGCTGCCCCGAGCTGCCTGCCCATGGCCCTGAGGAGGGGCACTGCCCCAGTGAGCCAGCCCATCACCAAGGTGTCAGGTACCATCTGTCCGTCCATCCATCCACCCATCTGTCCATCCATGTCCAGAGATGCAGGGGCAGGGGACAGAGCCTGCCACATCCTTTCTTGTCCCAGCGTCAGCCCATAAACATTTCTCACTCTGGACATTGCTGGTACGAAGGGTCTGGGGCTGGGACACACTGGAAGGGCTCAGTGTCCACCCAGGGTGACCTGGAGCAGAGCCACCAGCCCACGAGCAGCCCCTGTGGGGACACGATGGTCCCTGGGCCATTGCCCTCTGCAGAGACCTGGCTGCACTCACCGCATTTCCAGAGCATCCATAGCAGGGACCTCATCCCCTTGGGGCCTTTCCCCATCGGAGCTGAGCAGCAAGCGCCCTGCAAGGGGAGGAAGGGGAGAGCGGCCAACAGACAGACAGACAGAGCCGTTGCTAAAGTCTCATTTCCTTAGAAACCACGCTAAAAATAATCCCCTTTTCTTGTGGTCCTGTGCTCGGCGTGTGCTGCCAGGCTGCTGCACCCCACCATGCCTCCCCCAGCAGCGCTGCCATCTCCCCGTAAAACTGCCTGGGTGACGGCTGGAGCCCGGCAGGGAGCCTGACCCCCCCCCCCAGCCAGCCAACCTCCCCTGGTGATGGAGGGAAACTGAGGCACAAGCCCCTGCTCTGCCGGGGAAGGATGCTCCTGCCCCGTGTGCTGGGATTTGCCACCTGATCCTGCACGGGGCTGAGCACCCAGGTTTGCCCTGGGCTGTGAGGGAGCCCCAGCCCTTTGGAGCAAGGTGGGATTGTGCCAAGCAGGACAGGAGCTGTGGGGCGGGGGGAACCCATGGGATAGGGGATGTGGGGCTGCCCCATGGGCCGGGGCTGTCCTATGGGATGGGAGCCATGGGGTTGAGGTTACCCTGTGGGGTGGGGGCCCTGCGAAGCCCCAAGGACCCCACGCAGCAGTGATCAGTGAACGCTCGCCCCAGTGCAGCCCGGGAGCACTCCCAGCCCTGCTCTGGATGAGGCCGCATCCTGCCCTGCGCCCTCCCCAGAACCCCCAGGTGAGGACGGGGGGGGGCAGGGTGGGTGGGTGTGTCCCACCCCATCCCCATGCCCATCCCCTTGGCTTCCAGCCTCCACCGGGCTTGGGGTCCCCCTACCCCGGGTTGCTTCCCCTCTGCACCACCCCTTCCCGGACTGCCTGACGCCTCCCAGTTCAGCCCAGTTCAGCCCAGTTCAGTCCCGTCCGGCGGGAGCTGCTGGCTCCAGTCCCTGCTTTCGTGCCGCCGGGGCGAGGAGGTGCTTGCTCGCCTGCGGTTGACTCAGCCCTAGGCTGCCAGCACCCTGCCCGGGGGTGGGACACGGG